TGGTTGCTGTGATTTGGAAACAATTTGATGGCACTTAGCAACAACTACCTTTTATGAAATTTTAAAAAAGGTAATAAACTTTCTTTTTTTGAGTAATTTTGTTATTTATAGAAAAGTTGCAAATCTAGTACTCAAAGCTCTTATAAATTCCTCACCCCATTTTGGTTTTCTCTAATTTTATCAAGTTACATTACTGTGGTATATTTTCTAAAACTAAGAAACAGACATTTGTGTATTCCTATTAACAAAGTTTCTATTTGGATTTCATGAGCTTTTCTAAATGTCTGGGATTGTGTTAGTTGTCTTATCTCCTTAGTTTTCTGTAGTTCTTGGTAGTTTTTTAGCCTTTCTTTCTTTTTCTCATTATATTAATTTTTTGAAGGCTTGTAATCAGATATTTTGTAGAATGTCTCTCATTGGGTGTGTGTGATGTTTATCTCAGCATGAGACCGGAATAATGGGTTTCTAGAAAAAAAAATCATATGTGAAATTCTCTTCTTAGGATTTATTTTTGTTTTAAAAAATTATATAAGGCCAAAACAATAAACCTAAGTGTATTCATCTTTTTCCCCTTCTGTTTTTTTTTTTTTCTCCCTTCCCCTAAAGGTAAGCATTTTTAAAATTAGGTTTTGGTTTATCCTTCCACATATGCATAATTCCTCTAGCTCCCTTTTTCCTACTTCTTACCCCAAATTTAACAGCAGCCCATGTTCTCAACTCCTGTACTATGATTTCTCTTTAGAGAAGCCACTAGCAGTGACTCTTCTAATATATTTTGCAAGATTATTTTATGTTGTCAAAAGTTAATCTTTTGTAACTAATAAAAAAATACTTTCTTTGTGCCTTTAAAATGTTTGGCATGTGTTGTTATTATTGTTCCTTTTTTATTTGCAGATATTTTCCAATTTGTCCCTGGATGAGCGTTGCCTTTCTGCATCATTGGTTTGCAAGTACTGGCGTGATCTTTGTTTAGATTTCCAGTTTTGGAAACAGCTGGATCTTAGTAGCCGTCAGCAGGTATGGAATCTAATTCTAAGAAACACTCAATTTAACTTACTCTATTAAAAATATTCTTGTTGCTTAACAGACATCATATCTTTTATGCTGTATTTTTTTCAAGATAGGTACTTAAACTATTTTATTGTACATTGCAATGTATTACTAATGTGATTAGGAATTTTTTACTAATGTATTATGATGTATTACTAATGTGATTGGGAATTTAAGTTGAAACTAGATTCTCATGGTGTACTTGATATTCTCTAATGTTAGTTGCTAATTGAGGTTTCCCTCTTAATTTCTTATCTTTTGTCTTCTCCTTTTTTCATTTCCTTTTTAAAAACATTATTAAACACTTTGGGGTTTTTTTGTTTTCCTTTTTTTTTTTGGAGAATTATGATCCATTGGATTTTCATAGGCTAAATTATAGATGTAGATTGCCAGACTTCTTCCTGGTCTGTCTTGGTCTAGAAACCTGCCCACCTTGGATGTCCTTGCTAAATATTTGCAGATACAAGTGGCATAGCTTCTAGTGTCATTGTTGTTGATGTTAGGTGCTATCAAGTCAGTACTGACTCATAGGGACCCTATACACAACAGCACAAAATACTACCCGGTTCTGGGTTAACCTCACAATTGTTGACACGTTAGAGCCCATTGATGCTGCCACTTTGTCAATCCATCTCG